GGGGGGGGGGGGGGGGGGGGGGGTCGTTTCGGAACTGTCGCGAATGCAATCCGGAGAATTGCGTTCACCCCTATTATTTCTGTCAGCACTCCAGAATGCTGTCTGCTTCTCCCTGATTATCAGCAACTAGCTTCCACACGTCTTCTGTCTGTCAACGTATCTCAACTCCACATATGTCAGCTGTGATCACACACAGGTGTTGCCGACTGACAATCACATGCGTTTCTCTACACACCCGCAATTCTCTTGTAGGAGGTCTAGATCTATTTTCTATGCTATCGCTTTCCCTCACCAGCCGCAGATGGTCCCGCAAAGTGCCGAACCACGGGAGCTGGTTTCTCTCCAATATACTTATCATTGCATGCCCTAAACTGATTAACTCATCTTGCCGCGCATGCTCGTAACCCATGTTCACGAATAGAGAGCAGTACGCTGCCGTTCCACGATACCTTGGCTGATACGGACTTCTAAACTCGCCAGTCGTTGTGTTTATAAATTGCCTTGAAAGACCAAAGTCGATCAAATGTATGCAGTTGGGGTCCGTGTCTCCGATTAAAAAGTTTTCCGGCTTAATATCACTATGAACATATCCAAGTTCACGAAGAGCTCTGCTCCTTCGGATTGCCTGGATCCCGAACTTGAGAATGGATTTCGTTTTGTGTGTCCTCCCTTAGCCAATGTACCGTGACCGACTAGAACCAGTAAACTACGAATATCATCAGTAAACGTGAGAGAGGAAAAGACCTCATCTCAGCACCAATCACTCACAGCGTGCAATGACAACTGATAATAAACAAACGAAGGAGTGATTTGGTTCGGGGAATGATGTCAATACCCTGTAGCTTCCCATCGGTGTATAATCGTGATAGTGGCTTTGCCCTTGCCCTCTGAATGCTTGCTATTTCGGCAGCCCGGCCCCATCTTGTATGCTTTCTGAGAAGCCGATTTCCACTGGATTTGAGTAGGTGCGAGAACACCCAATGCATTTCACTGCCCCACATGCGATACATGTGCAAAGGGAGATGGTAGCAGTAAGCTACCCTTCTTCCCCAGACATTGTTCCCTCTCCCTCCTGAAATTCCGGCGTATCTCTATCATCCGACCACTCCTCCCTCGTATAGCCAAGCCCATTTCCGTCACTAGTACGATACACCCTCCACTCACACTCGTCTTTACCGTCCCACTCACCGGGCCCCCCTAGGGTACTCCCGTTCGCAACGGCCTTGAACATGACCTTCTCGGCCACGCCGCGAAAATCGATAAAAACGCCGGAGATTAAGCGCACGACGCCCAGAAAAGCGGCAATGCACACGACGACAAACCCGCTGCTCCGCGCTTCCACACCCGCGTACCTGCCGAAGATGGCGCGGATGGGCTCTCCTGGTCTCATGCGGCCCCCCGATACTTCCCCCCTGCGTTCGGAATCATAGCCATTGATGTAGAAGATGCGGCGCCCCACCTCGATCAGGGCCTTGGCAAGGGACTTCTTCGGGCCCGCCCCTGGGCTCTCGAGGATCTCTAAAGACTCGGTACTCTTGCAGGCGTAGGAGCTGACCTGTAACACGCCCTCTAACACATGCTTGGGCGCGTCGCACGAGAGGCGCCAGCCACGCAGCACCTCGGTCTCGAAGACGCGGGCCTCGGGCTCGTTGAAGTCGGAGAATATGGTGGTGCGCGAGAGATCCAGGGCCTCTATGGCGCGATAGGGTGCTAAGGTGATCATGCGGTTGTTCGGACTGTATTCGTTAACGTAAAACGAGATGAGGTTGGCGGTCTTTCGGAGGCCCGTGCGCGAGTCGATGGGTGTGCCGTCTTCGTTGAAGCCGTCGGCGACGATCAGGGAATGGATGGAGAAGCTCGTCCCTGGCTCACGCGTGGCTCGATCGAGCGCCTGGAGCTGGGAAGAGACTATGTCAAAAGTGTTGATGACGGCAATGCAGACGTGGCGCGACGTGGTGGAGTCGTTGAAGACGGCGGAGCGCAGCTCGAACTCCTCCTCGCTGTTGATCTCAGCGGTGTTCCTATCGTGGCCAAGGCCGACGTGGAAGATAGGGACACGAGATTGCGACAGCGACTGGAAGACGGTGCGGGGGCGCGTGACGTAGACCACGGCGACCTCGAGGACGAGGAAGAGCGAGATGCAGACGAGCGAGATGAGGGCGAGGACGGGGAGCCCGTAGGGACGGCGCGGGGGCGACGGGTGCGGGTAGGTGCGCGCGCGGCGCGTGAGGCGCAGCCAGGACAGGCGCAGCGAGGTGGCCAGCTGCAGGTTGAAGCCCGACTCTGCCGCGAGCGAGAGGAGGTGGCCCGGGCCCGAGGCGAACAAGCGGCGGAGCACGTACAAGACAGTTTCGAGGAGGTGCGTGGAGCCGAGGAGCGCGAGGGCGGCGATGAGGCCGAGGAGGATGGCGTCGGTGATCATGGCGGCGGTGGGTGTGGTGCCCGTCTCGAAGGAAAGAGGGCAGCCCAAGAGGTGGTTTAAGAAGGGGAAGAGGTTTTCCCATCCATTGTTGTAATCGTTCACGTGGTCATCGTTGACTATGCTGAGAGAGAGAGAGAAACTATATACAGTGCCTCCTACGATATAGTGCTATAGCGTGACATACCTCTAGCTATGGCACTATTGGGGGGATGGCACTATATAAAGGAGGCTCAAATACGTCTATTTGGGGACAAAGCACACTGCAAACACAAACACAACAAAGCCTGTATAACACAACTAAGAGCATCCCCACCGCGTCGATTCTATTGCCGGATAGAAGTACAACGTGTACGCTGACCATTCGCCGGTTGCCCGAATTGAATTTTGTGCCTATTCGTCAATCTATTCGTGTGGAATCTATTCGCGTCAACCCCAACGCATATGTTGCAAATCTATCGCTATATGCCCGCGCAGACAACGGCGAGACGTCACACATCGTCTGCGAAGAGGCGATCGTTCATCGAGACGCCCACCCCTCGCCGTGAATCCCGCGCGGCTGCATGTCTCTCTTCCGCAGCCTGTGCCCTCTTTCCCTCTTCGTCGCGCGCCCTCCCTCGGGTATTGTCCAACTACGCGCTCTCACGAGTTATCATCGCCAATGGACCGGAGAACAGTCCTCGGAAGCGTCCTTCAGTACAGTATATGGACGACAGCGATGGCGATGATGAAAGCATCGTCGCGAGCATGCACAGGTCACGCGCCACCGGAATGCATGCTGCAGCGACGAAGCAGCGGAGGTTCTCGGGCGAGAAGGATGCACAATTGGCCAGAATTCGGCTGACACGCTTTGCACGTGGCATTCTATCGCGGAATCTATTCACCGGATAGAACGTTTTTAGAATCTATCGGAGCTCGGATAGATCCCAAAATTGTTCTATTCGATTTCGGAAAGCGATAGAATTGCGCGGTGGGGTTGAAAATTGTGAGCGGAAATTCTATTGATCAAATAGATGTGCGCGGTGGGGTTGCTCTAAATAACTTCATCCTTTGAGTACTGAATCAGTACTCAAAGGATGAAGTTATTTAATATCATCCGGCATGGTTCAGTACTACTGAACCAAATAACTTCATCCTTTGAGTACTGAACCATGCCGGATGATACACGTGTGAGCTTATGATAACTTGTGCCAGAGGGTGAGCCATAGCACTATATAGAGGGAAGCACTACTAAAGTAGGCACTATTGAGCGACCCTCCCTGAGGTTTTCCCATCCATTGTTGTAATTGGTCGCGTGGTCATCGTTGACTATGCTGAGAGAGAGAGAGAAACTATATATACAGTATGAGAGAGAGAGTGATCATGTACACTTCACTGTATACCTTGACACGCAATACACGACTCTAACGTGGGCACGTGGCACTGTCAAAGAAGTCAGGCATCGCCTTGGCCAATTTTTTCTGTAATTTGTGAGTACAGTGCTTCCGCCTTATAAGAATAGCCCGTTGGAGAAATATCCTCGGTAATAGAATAATATCATATTATGATGGCTGACTCCCGTGTTGGGAGTGCCCAAAAAATGCACATGGAGAAGCATTTTATTCTTATTCGACAAAAGAATAAAATTTTCTGGATGAGCTCAATTTTGGGGTACAGCAAGGCGTGTACGTACCTCAAAAATAACAAAATATGGTCCTCTCTTGACCTCTTCAGGTTTAATGTTTCAATCTCATTACTGAACTAAGTATCCTTCTTTGCTGGGGCCTCTCGCCCCTAGGCCAGGCTGTCTATAGCCTCGGAGGTGCCTCGCGCACCTCCCAAGAATCCAGGTACAGTACATAGCTCAGGCTCAGGTGAGCATCGTTGTCGTCGCGCATTACAGCTATATCATTGTCACCCCTCCTCGGCGCAACGATCTCTGCGATTGTCGCGAGATTCGAACTCACGACATTAATTTGCAATATATCCTTATCAACCACTACACCACTGTGACTAGCATGTGTTTCAATTTTCTTTCAATTTTCCAAAACGTTTCACACGTGTATCATTTGGCCCGGTACCTGGCTTCCACTCACAGTGTCTGGTATGAATAGGAATAATTTTCGTCGTACAGTCACCAACTTGACGGCGTCTTTCGGGGCGTGCATACCTGGAAGCGGGTATGGAATTGAGTGGGTCTGCGCGTGTGAGTGTGGGCTAGTGTCTAGACGACCGGCAATTTGCCTCATATGAGGTCAAATGCTCTACAGTAAAATTTAAACAAAATTTAAGATTTTCGCAAGTTTAGAACAAAAGGAGCACAATTTTTACGAAGTAGAACTTTGAACGACTATAAAGACAACTATAAACGACTAGTTAGTAACTGACAAGCCAGCTCAGTGGTCTGCAAGGATCGCTGAGTCTTAGAGGCCGGGGTTCAACTCCTCGCTGAGCACTTTAGTGGTCGAAAAATCCCTTCGGGGATCTCGATGGTTCTTGTTCGTGACCTGCAGCCCAGGACGCTTTATAGCGCCTACTCGAACATGAGATTGAATACGGTGACATCTCATAAAGGGGCATTCCGACACGGCTGCAGGTCTTCCAAGCAAGTCTTTAGACGCAGGATAGAACCATGGGGGGCAGAAGGAGTTTTTTATCTCTTTTTGCTCTATTTTACTCAAATGCTGACCCATTTAGTCAGTTTTAAAGGCCTAGAACGCTTTAAGCACTAATAGTACTTACCTTTGTAAGTAAGATCGTGACGTTCGTCCACGTGTTTCTTAAAACAGTCACGCCCAGTCTGGTGATGACAAAGGTATACTTCTTTGTCAAAATATGCCTTGCAGGCTGAGCAAATAAACTTTGACTTTTTTGTACCTTTGCAAATATTGCATCTGGATTGATAAAGAGCACAAGTCTTCTCGCCGGATGCGCTTTTACGCTTGCGAGTGGTTGGAGTTAGGTGAGTACCAATTCCACTGCCAAACCCAACATCTTCATCTTCAACAGCACTGTCTGATTCTCGCTGACGTAACGATATACGATCATACTTGTTATCAATCAACTGGTCAGCAAGCTCACAATAAAACTGATTTGGAGACATCTTTGAACCATCTCCTTTTGCACCTGCATACAGTTTCCATGCATCCACAATGCAAATGGCCAATAAAGAAGTGTTGACACGCATAGACCACTCTTTGACTTCGAACTTCTTTTCCAAGCCGAGATCATCCTGACGAGATCTGTTGTGGCGGTCAATCTGAGAGCAAGTTTCATAATACTGCTCACAGACTGAGGGAATACGGATAGACAATTCCTCTTTTCTTGTCACGCCATGACGTGTACGCCATCTCTCGCGGTAGATTGGAGTTCCTTCGTTGGATGTTCCGACAGAACTAATAAAGTATCTGCGGTCTCGGTCCACCCACATCACTGCCATGAGATGAGGCCCGGCCACCGGCTTCGAAACTAGTGTGACGTGCTCTCCCTTTTCAGCAATCTCCAGATGAGATAGATATTTCATCGGATATTTCTTGGTAGATGTCTTCACCACACCTGTGAATCTAAGACCTTTCTCATAAAGTGATTCAGCCGTGTGGACAGAAGCAAAGTACGAATCCGCGCACACAACACGATTGGTGTGAAACCATGGCTGTAACAACCTCAAAGTCACTGCGGTTCCGTGTAAGTGGTCACTTTCAAAATCCTTTAAAGAAGTCTCCTCAGCTGAGACGACGTTCTCAATTCTTATTATGATTCCACTTTTTCCACATGCAGCAGTCTTCAACTCACAGCCATTCTCGGGTTTTCGGTCCATGGCCACATAATGAGGA